TTGCCTGTGCCAATATCTTGAAGGGTTTCACCAATGTTCTCTAATAACTTAATGGTGTCAGGACGTAGATTTAGGTCTTTAATCCACGTTGAGTGGATTTTTGTGTAAGGTGTAAGGTAGGGGTCTTGCTTCATGCTTCTGCACGTGGAAATCCAGTTTTCCCAGCACCATTTATTGAATAGACTGTCCTTGCTCCAGGAATTAGTTTTAGATCCTTGATCAAATATAAGTTGGCTGTAGATGTTTGGGTTGATTTCTGGTGTTTCTATTCTGTTCCATTGGTCTATCCATCTGTTTCTGTACCAGTACCATGCTGTTTTGATTACAACTGCCCTGTAGTATGTCCTGAAGTCTGGTATTGTGATGCCTCCGGCTTTGTTTTTGTTGTACAAGATTGCTTTAGCTATTCGAGGTCTCTTGTGCCTCCATATGAATTTCAGCATCATTTTTTCTAGATCTGCGAAGCCATCCCACTCCTTGGAATTTACCCAAAGGAGTTTAAATTGATAAAGAAAAAAGCGGTCTGCACCCTAATGTTTATTGCAGCACAATTCACAATAGCCAAGACCTGGAACCAACCTAAATGCCCATCAATGGTAGACTGGATAAAGAAATTATGGGATATGTATTCTTTAGAGTACTATACCGCAGTAAGAAACAACGAAATCCAGTCATTTGCAACAAAATGGAGGAATCTGGAACACATCATGCTGAGTGAAGTAAGCCAGTCCCAAAGGGACAAATACCATATGTTCTCCTTGATCGGTGACAACTGACTGAACACCAAAAAGGAAACCTCCTGAAGTGAAATGGACACTATGAGAAATGGTGACTTGATCAGCATAGCCCTGACTGCTAATGGACAACTTAATACATTATCCCTCATAGTATTTTTTTTTGTCTGTTCTACTTAATATGACTGGTTTAATTCTGTAATTATCACACAGTTATTCTTAAGTGTTGAAAATTAACTGAAATGTGATCCCTGTTAAACATAAGAGTGGGAATAAGAGAGGGAAGAGATGTATAATTTGGGGCATGCTCGGGTTGACTTGCCCCAATTGGTAGAGTTGGAAACATACCAGGGGATTCCAATTCAATCCCATCAAGGTGGCATGTGCCAATGCCATCTCACTATCCCAAGTGATCAATTTCAGTTCACAATTGATCATAATGAAAGGACTAAGAGTCAAAGGGAGCACATAAACAAGTCTAGTATCTGCTAACACCAACCGATAGAATAAATAAAGGGGAGAGTGATCCAACATGGGAAGTGAGATACTCAGCAGACTCATAGAATGGCGGATGTCCTAAATAGCACTCTGGCCTCAGAATCAGCCCTAAAGGCACTCGGATCTGGCTGAAAAGCCCATGAGAGTATTTCAGGCATGGAAAGCCAAGACACTCTGGCAAAAAGATCTCTGTGAGTGAGATCCCAGTGGAAAGAACAGGTCTTCAAAGAGGGAGGTGCCTTTCTCTGAAGGGAGGAGAGAACCTCCACTTTGACTATGACCGTGTCTAAACAAGATAAGAGTCGGAGAACTCAAGGGGCTTCCATAGCCTTGGAAACTCATAACTGGTGCATAGGGAGATTACTGATGCCATAAACAGGAGTGTCAATTGGTAAAGTCAACAACAGGAGTCACTGTGCACTTACTCCTCATGTAGGATCTCTGTCCTTAACGTGCTGTACACTGAGGCTTAATGCTATAACGAGTACTCAAACAGTATATTTCACTTTGTGTTTCTATGGGGGTGCAAACGATTGAAATCTTTACTTAATGTACACTAAACTGATCTTCTGTAAGAAAAAAAACAAAGGATAACAAAAAGAAATTATCAATTCCCAACTTGACTCTCACTGGGATTAAACATGACAATAGGTCTGATCTGATTTCATCATCATTTAAAAAAAATCATCTATTATTTTTCACTTTATGTTTCTGTGTGGGAGCAAACTGTTGAAATACTTACTTAAGGTATACTAAGCTGATCTTCTGTATATTAAGATAATCGAAAATGAATCTTGATGTGAATGGAAGGGGAGAGGGAGTGGGAAAGGGGAGGGTAGTGGGTGGGAGGGACGGTATGGGGGGGGAAGCCATTGTAACACATGAGTCGTACTTTGGAAATTTATATTCATTAAATAAAAGATAAAAAAAAATAGAACTACTGTATGTATTATCCAGCAATCCCGTTAGTGGGTACATAAGCAGACATTAGCCACCCTATTTACCAGGACAAGTTTTTGGCTCTTCTTTCATGTTGTATTACTGATCTCTATAAAGAATAGATCGCCCCTCCTTTTATTTTGTAGAATATTTCAAATAGTTTCCTTGCTGATTTGGTGATGTTGCCCTACACTTTCTGCCTGGAAGAAAGATTATATAAGCAGCCAGACACTCTGTGGATTTACTAACATGTGGCCAGGCTTGCATTGAGATCATCACCCTTTTACTCTATTACCTCATGACTCACTGCCAGTCTACACAGAGGGAGGAAATGGAGGAAGAGTTGAAGCAAGGAGTGCATAGAGGTAATGGGCTATTGGCTTACTAGGGAGAATCATGAGGTTTCCAGCGATTTCAGGTAACGGAAGGTATGCTTTCTCTAATATTTACTCCAAGTCAACTAAAAGAGCTGCAAGGAAACTACAACAAGAGAGATAGATAAGAGGAGGGGCTGGCGCTATGGCAGGTTAAGCCACTGCCTGCAGTGCCAGCATCCCATATGGGCACTGGTTCAAGTCCCAGCTGCTCCACTTCCAATCCAGCTCTCTGCTATGGTCTGGGAAAACAGTGGAAGTTGGTCCAAGTCCTTGGGCCCCTGCACCCTCATGGGAGACCTGGAAGAAGCTCCTGGCTCCTGGCTTCGGATCAGCACAGCTCTGGCCGTTGCAGCCAATTGGGGAGTGAACCAACAGAATGGAAGACCTCTCTCTCTCTATGCCTCTCTTTCTCTCTGTGTGTAACTCTGATTTTCAACTAAATAAATAAATCTTTAAAAAAAAGAATAGATAAGAGGAAATTGGCATTTCTGTCTCTGACTAGAGACATGCTGAAGTACCTAAGTCTTTTGTTTTCTCTAGAGGTTGCCACAGGAGTGTGGAATGATGAGAAAGACCTTGGGAGAATGCACAAGTGTTTCCTGGTATCTGAGGTATGCATGAATACAGACACTGGGACATACTGCTCTGAGGAATCTGAAGGCAAGAGGACAGATATCTGGAGTGGCCTTAATGACAGAGCAAAATGAGGGTCTTCAGGGAGCAACCTGCCTTCCTATAATGTGGCATGGAAAGCATGTTTGAGTTTCCCATGGCCTAAGAGGATGCTGTGAAAGGTGGAAAGTCTTAAAAAAAAAAAAAAAGGAGCCCCAAAGGTGGTTTGCTGAGGCAAGAGAACACTGCAGTAATAGGTTGGGATGGGAAGAGATATTAGGGATAGGTAAAAAACAATTTCAAGTGGTAAGCCAAAGATTAGCTCACCTTTCTCAGAAGACTGAGTAGTGTGGACTGCTTGCAAAGCTCCTAAAGAAACTTCCCAAAGACCTCACAAAAGGATTCGTAATTGGATGTCTGACCATCAGAGGTCACTAATGGCCAGCTAGCATTAACCAAGGGAGAACTAAAATGCAGAGTCAATGAAAACAAGACATGCACCTTTGCTTTAATCTCCTTTTGTTTTCAGTCCTGGCCCTGGACTAGTCAGAAGAGCAGGGCAACATGGGAAGGAAGGCACAGAGGAAAGGCTGGTCTCTTCTCTCCCACTGCAGCCCAAAGTTGGTGTAGGAGGGGAGAGGCTTTGAATTGGATATGGATTTCAGTTTTGATTTAGATTGGACAGGAACCCTCTAACCCCTGCATGGAAGTCATCATTAATGAAAGGGGTTTCTTCCCAAGCTTGACAAAGTAGAGGCTGTGAGGTCTGCAAGAAGCACCAGCAGACAGAGACCCAACAGAGCATATTTAAAAGCCATTCCCCCTAAGTTCAGACTGTTCAGTTAACTGATGATGCCAGGACAGATTATAGAATATGTCTAGTTTATTGACATTAAATAGGATCTTTTGGGATACGGTGGTCAGAATATGAGGATAAAGAGTTAGTTGGTTCCTTCCCTGATGAGTCAACATTTGGGGACAGTGTACTGGGGAAAATTTATTACCAATAATAAAATAGCTATGTGTATATGTGTTCAAAAAGTCTTTAATATGATCTTTCTTTAGTCTTCCTTCCATTCAGCCATTTATTAATGGCCTCTGTCCTGCCCAAAACCAAAAGGAACTTTAAGGAGTTCATAGCTCAAGGATAAGCATAGAAACATAGTAATTTATACACCACCTACTATGTGCCTGGTACTTTTCTACATGTGTCATGCACATCAATCTAACCTAATTAATTTAATCTTAAAAATAGTTACTTTATTTATTATTTATTTTTTGACAGGCAGAGTTAGACAGTGAGAGAGACAGAGAGAAAAGTCTTCCTTTTACCGTTGGTTCACCCCCCAAGTGGCTGCTACGGCCGGCATGTTGCAGCTGGCACTCTGCGCTGATCCGAAGCCAGGAGCCATGTGCTTCCTCCTGGTCTCCCACGTGGGTGCAGGGCCCAAGGACTTGGGCCATCCTCCACTGCACTCCCGGGCCACAGCAGAGAGCTGGGCTGGAAGGGGAGCAACCAGGACAGAATTCGGCACCCAGACCGGGACTAGAACCCGGGGTGCTGGTGCCACAGGAGGAGAATTAGCCTCTTGAGCCACGGCACCAGCCCAAAGTAGTTACTCTTATTAGCACTGTATCATAGGCAATGAAACTGAGGCACGAAGAGGTTAAGTGACTTGCCTAAAGCAATGCAGCAGAAAGGGCTGAGGTAGGGACTTGATGGAAATGTGGCTGTTGTTGAGTTATATCTAATGCTACGATGTTGCTCATAACCTGAAGTGTTTCTCCTAACAGGGATTCTAATTTAGAATATGACTGTGTTTAAAGAGAAAAGGCTTACTGTGGCCTGTGAAAGCTGGACAAGGCTTCTGACTCACATGTTCCAGCACCACTGCACAGTCGACCATAAATGGGAACTGTATCTTCAGACCTGCAATGAGACTGCACATTAGTCTCATTTCGGAGATCTTGCTCTTGGTAATACCCATTATCCTATCTCCTTTGGCCTTATCACCCAGAGACATATCTTTCACAATCAAATAGATAGCTTAGTAGATTTTTAAATTCTTATTTTTAGAGCAGCCATAATTTCATTGAGAGGGTAAGCCTTGGGAAATAGCTACATCTATATATTCTATATCTATCTTTATTTCTAATCATTTTGATGGGTCATTGTGGAGTTGCTCTTGACCCCTGGAACAAATCTCTTCTGATGCATTGTAAGAGAAGATGATAGAAAATCCTTTAACTCTTTCATGTCCTAATTTGGGCCTTGGGGAGATGACAGCTATGGAAAAATGACACGCTCAACAAATACAGATAACAACTAGAAATTTGCTGTGTGTGTGTGTGTGTGTGTGTGAACATTTTTCTCATGAAAAGCTACAGGGGAGGTCACTGAATTCTGGCTTTGAGTTCATACTTTTTTTTTTTAAGATTTTATTTATATGAAAGAGTTACAGAGAGAGGTAGAGACATAGAGAGAGAGATCTTCCATCCTCTGGTTCACTCCCCAGATGGTCATAATGGTCGTAGCTGTGCTGATCAGAAGCCAGGAGCCAGATGCTTCTTCCTGGTTTCTCATGCAGGTACAGGGGTCCAAGCACTTGGGCCATCTTCTACTGCTTTCCAAGGCTATAGCAGAGAGCTGGATTGGAAGAGGAGCAGCTGGGACTAGAACAGGTGCTCATATGGGATGCTGGTGCTTCAGGCCAGGACGTTAACCTGCGGCGCCACAGCGCCGGCACCTCATACTTCCTATGTAGCACCCTCACTGCTGGGAACTCAGCATTTTTGAGTGCTAAGATTATGAATCCTCCATTTACAGAAATAATTTTTGATAGAGGAGACTGGGCTGGCAACTTTTTATGGAGGCTTAACACTTTTATGGAGGGTTCAGCTAAACAACTATGGCTCATGGGCAAATAACAGAATTAGCAGAGGCAGAGTGAGTTCTAAACCTCCTTCCAAAACCATTCTGTTGTATCACCCGGGACAGGCAACCCACTTTCCTGAACTTTTTTTTTTATTTGACAGGTAGAGTTACAGACAGTGAGAGAGAGAGAATCAGAGAAAGGTCTTCCTTCTGCTGGTTCACCCCAAAATGGCCACCACGGCCGGAACTGTGCAGATCTGAAGCCAGGAGCCAGGTGCTTCTCCTGGTCTCCCATGTGGGTGCAGGGCCCAAGCACTTGGGCCATCCTTCACTGCTTTCCCAGGCCACAGCAGAGAGCTGGACTGGAAGAGGAGCAACTGGGACTAGAACCTGGCGCCCATATGGGATGCCGTTGCCACAGGTGGAGGATTAACCAAGTGAGCCACAGCGAACGGCCCCACGAACTTTTTTAAAAAATCATTTATAAGATTAAGGGGTCCAAGGATTCTTAGAGCTGGATATCAAGGGTCTAACATTTGGTTTAACATTTCTCTATGATTCAAACTGTAACCTAACAAGGGTACTTTACAACATTGTAAAATGACATGCTGGGTTAGGGATGAATAATGAAATATTTATTGAAGACAATCTTTCAAAATTAAAAACGGATATGAAACTTACCAATATGTTAGGAAATTGGATATTGCTCATGGTTTTAAAAAATATTTATTTGAAAGGCAGAGTGATAGAAAGAAGAGAGATGAGACAAAGAAACAGATCTTCCACCCATTCTCTCCCCAAATGGTGTCACAGCTGGGCAGTGGGCCAAGCTGAAGCCAGAAATTCCGTCCAGGTCTCCTGTGCGGGTGGCAGGGGCCCAGGTACTTGGGCCATCTTCCACTGCTCTCCCATGCACATTAGCAGGACACTAAATAGTAAGTGGAGCAACTGAGACTGCAACCAGAGCTCCAGTGGGGGATGTTGGCGTTGCAGGTAGTGCCACAATGCTGGCCCCTGTGGCTCATGTTTTGATTAGTTTCTATTACATGTCCTTGTTTTTTCAAGCTCCTACACTTTGGTGCCTCTTTGGACCTCACACTAAACTCTGTTTCATGCTGACACTGTACAAGGGGGCCTTCAAAAAGTTCACAGAGGCCTATATCCCATATTGGAGTGCCTGGGTTCATGACTTGTCTCCATTCCCAATTCCATTTCCCACTAGTGTACACTTTGGGAGGTAGGAGGTGATGGATTAAGTCATTGTGTCCCTGCTACTCACAAAGACTCGGATTGAGTCCAGCTGTGGTGGCCATTTGGGGAGTGAACCAGTGGACAAGAGAGCTCTGTCTATATCTGTCTCTCTGCTTCTTAAATGAAACAAAAAATAAAATTTAAAGCAAAATGTAAGGTCACAGAAAATGTGTGTTATGAACATACTATGTATGAGTTTCAAAAACTTTGCAAAAAAATTAACATTTTAAAATCCTACTTTGCCACAAACTTTCTTTTTAAAGATTTATTTATTGGCAAGGTAGAGAGAGAGAGAAGGAGAGAGAGCTTCCATCTGCTGGTTTACTCTCCAAATTGCTGCAAAGCTGGGGCTGGGCCAGGAGCTTCATCTGGGTCTCCCACATGGGTGCAAAGGCCCAAGGACTTGAACCATCTTCCGCTGCTTTCTCAGGCTCATTAGCAGGGAGCTGAATCAGAAGTAGAGCAGCTGGGACTTGAACTGGAGCCCATATGGGATGGCAATATTGCAGGTGGAGGTTTAACTTTTTAAGCCACAGCACCAAACCCCACTTTTCAAAATTAATTCATCTATTTAATTTATTTGGAAAGCAGAGAGATGAGAGGAAGAGACATAGAGGTCTCTCATCAACTGGTTCACTTCTCAAATGCCTGCAGCAGCTGGAGCTGGGATAGGCTGATGCCAGGAACTGGGGTCTCAGTTCAGGTCTTCTGTGTAGAGGGCAAAGACCCATGAACTTGACCCATCACCTGCTGCCTTCCAGGATGTACCTGAGCTGGAGGCTGGAATTGCAAGTTGAAGTCAGGACTTGAACCCAGGTATAAGCAGGCATCCCAAGCAGTATCTTATTGCTGTGCCAAACACCCACCTTACCACAAACTTTTTGAAGTGCCCTCATATGTAACTCACTGAGCATTTGCTACTCATCAAAAACATCAGCCTAGAAGTTGACATTAGGGGCCAGCGCTGTGGTGTAATGGGTAAAGCTGCCACCTGCAGTGCCATCATCCCATATGGGCACCAGTTCAAGTCCCAGCTGCTCCACTTCCGGTCCAGCTTTCTGCTATGCCCTGGGAAAGCAGTAGAAGATGGTCTGGGTCCTTGGGCCCCTGCACCCTTGTGGGAGACCACTGGGGAGTGAACCAGCAGATGGAAGACCTCTCTCTCTCTCTATCTGCCTCTCCTTCTCTGTGTGACTCTGACTTTCAAATAAATAAACATTTTATAAAAAAAAAAGAAGTTGACATTAAATAACTATGGTTTTCACGGAGTTATATTAAGAATGAGTTCAAAGTGTCCTCCTGTCAGCATGTGTAGACTGCTAAAGTGGAAGAATCTGTGAACTCAAAGGAAAACAAAACTGACAAAACTGCAAATCTTTTTTTTCTCATGGAAACGGATGAGTACAGTAAGGAAGATGACAATGTTACCTGAGTGTTAACCATCTATTTGTGTTTTCTCTGTGAGACTGAAAGTGCCATCTTCATCCCAATGCTTTCACGGGCAGGATGATGTTAAGAGGCTCCATGGCAAAACAATCAGAAATCGCCAAATTATCAAAACTCAAGCCTCAGTACTACCCTTCTGAGACTCAGGATTCATGGCCTGCCCTTTTTTCATTCCTTTGATTCACCATGGTTATGTTATTGTTAAAAAGAAATTCTGCCACAAATATGACCACTTAATTTCCTATACGTTCTTTTAAATTCATTCATAGGGAATTTTATTCATTCTTAAGGAGAATTCATTATAAAGTTTTAAGAACATTCAGTGACTCTTGGAATTATTGGAAAGAATGCAAAAATGCAATTTAAATATTCAGAAAGATAGAACTTAAAACCAGCTCAAGCATCAAACCTCTTCCTTATTCAAATTTGACATATTTGTAAATAGCAACAATAAGCTTCATAGAGTTTCCCTATAAAAATGGGTGGTCATTACTCCTAAATCTCAGTGTACACTGATATTTCTCACTTTTTGAGAGGAAATGAGTAACTTATGAATGAATGATGTGTTTAAGATTTTAAAAGGGGTTGGAACTGTGGCATAGCAGGTTAGGCCTCCATCTGCAGCACCGGCATCCCATATGGGCACTCGTTTGTATCCTGGCTGTTCCTCTTCTGATTTAGTTCTCTGCTTATGGCCTGGGAAAGCAGTGGAAGATGGCTGAAGGGCTTAGGCCCCTGCATCCATTTGGGAGATCAGGAGGAAGCTCCTGGCTCCTGGTTTCAGACCGGCTCAGCTCTAGCTGTTGCAGCCATTTGGGCATTGAACCAGCAGATGGAAGATCTCTTTGTCTCTCAAATAAATAAATAAATCTTAAAAAAAAAAAAGATTTTAAGAAGCAAGTTTTTTTTGGATGCCCTGTATGTTATCTATTGATAGTATCTCACTACTTAGGTGATAGTATAAAAATCGTTATGCTTGCAACAATCAAATTCACTAGTCTATAAAAATAGTTGTGGTGATGATGATCTAGTATTATATTGTTAGTTAATAACATTAATATTCATCATTACAATGTCCCCAAGAGAGTGCCAAGGAGGTCTTACTAACACTGCTCCTTGTATTTTCCAGCTTACATGGTATAACTTCAGAGTATTAATGAAATGCACTTCCCCTACCGACTCTTCCAAAGTGAGTACTGGTGATGGCTGGGAATTCCCACTAGGAGGGCCTTTCCACATTTGTGGGAACTCAATTTGCTGTTCTGTTTTCTTCCTTGAGGGGTGCTTCCAGGAGAACACAGGGTCCCCACTTCTCTGATGGTTGCCATGACATCCATTTCCTTCAGCATGCATCTGCACTGTCCCTCCCTCTCTCCAAGGCGGTCAGGATGGGAGGGAGGGAAGACGTGGTCTTCTTCATCTGGAGTTGTACACTTGTTACCTGACTTTTAAAGCACCACACGTGGTATGTACCTTTCAGTTCATAATGTTCTGCCTCAAAATGGCCCCCACTTCAGCACTTACTTGCCGTCTCTCTCTCCCTATAAAGATGAGCCCTTTGTGGTGTAGCAGGTAAAGCTGCCGCCTGCAGTGCCAGCATCCCATATGGGTGTCAGTTCGAGACCCGGCTGCTCCACTTCCAATCCAGCTCTCTGCTGTGGCCTGGGAAAGCAACAGAAGACAGCTCAAGTCCTTGGGCCCCTGCACCAGCATGGGAGACCCAGAGGAAGCTCCTGGCTCCTGGCTTCAGATCGGCGCAGCTCTGGGCATTACTGCCATTTGGGGAGTGAACCAGCAGATGGAAGACTCTCTCTCTCTCTGCCTCTGCTCTCTCTTTGTAACTCTGACTTTAAAATAAATAAATAAATCTTTTTTTTTTTTTTTTTAAAGATGAGCCCTTGTTTTGAACTAGTCTGGGAAGCACATCCCACTCCATCCTCCATTTTCCATTTTCCTTCTACCTCTGTTTCTCCCTCAGGTCCATCCTTTCTCCTCTAGAAAATAGTGTCATCCACAAACACACATAGGCAACAAACAAAAAACTCCACCTGCCCACCCTCAAAAAAAAAAAAATCTCATGCAAACAGATATGAGACATGATGGGAGAAACAAGATTGTTAGCTCCAAACCAGCAATCACTGCTGAGTCAGTCTGAACAAATAGGAACATCACAGTGGTGCACCACAGAGAATCGCTGTTGGAATTTTATGACCAGGTCTTTAATAATAAGTATCTCACATCCTGTTAAAGAAAAGCACATTCAAATAGCCAGAACTATCTAATAACGGAATAGCATCTGTAGGAAGTTGTAAGCTTCCGGCAACAAAAGCATTTAAGGAGACATTACACGATCAACTTCAAGGCATTTTCCAAAATGTGCTGTTCTCACTGCTGGGTTGGCAGAATCTTGGGGGCAAAATATCACTTACCCAGCTTATATTTTGCATAAAAGTGGACTTAATAAAAAGCTCTCATATATAGCGAGCCATTTTAATCTTAAAAGCTTCCTGTGAAATAAAGTAGGGACCATACTTATTTAATAAGGAAAAAAGCTCAAAAGATTCCTAACTTTTCTTGGGGGTTACATGGATGTAAATAGCAGAATTAGAATCTGACCCCAGCCAAATACATCCTTAAACTTGTATTGCTCAATGTAAATGTTCAATGAATCCATTCATTAGCTAGGTAAGGCTGTTGCTTTGGTGGGTTAGGGAAGCAAACTAAAATGATCTATAGATTTTTTTGATCTGACATTCATGCTGCAAGGGTCTAAGATGACTTGAATCACAAAAAGCAAATCTTCTTGATTTCATTCTCTTTTTCTCCCTCCAAAATGGACTGAAATATGTGAAATCTACAGGATGCATACCTTGTGTACAAAGTAGTGACATTAGAGACAAAGTAGTGACATTTCTTCAAGGCAGAATGCTTTTATCTTCAAATTTCTTCCTTAAGCTAGATAGACACAACACACACACACACACACACACACACACAATAGATGAATATTGTGATGACTGGAAGTTACCAGGGATCCTAACATCTATGACTCAACTAACTAACCTGGTTTTCCAAGACCCATATGCAACTGAGCTTTTGTCAGTCTCCCTAACATTTTATCTACTCTTCAGCAGAGACCTTCTGCCACATGGCTTCTCCTGGGTGGCCCCTACAGGGCCATGTTTATTTGCATTGTTGTTAATTTGCCATGTCTAAATGGTCACAGGCCCTGTGCCTGCTCTAAGACAGGCTATTAAGCAAGGGAAGCTTCTTTGGGAGGCTGTAAACTCAGGACTCCAGGACCTGAAGTACAGTTTGTGTCATGATTTATGGCTGGAGGTGTGCATTCCTCTGAGCTAATGGTCAATGATGATAAAGTGGATATCAGTGCCTCTGTGGATTTCCTGTTGTTCCTTCAATAGCTACCATTTAGAAGCATTTAATCAGGTACAAAGTGCTAGGGGTGGGAAAACCTTTTCAGGTTGCTATTGCACTGTGGAGTCAATTGTGAACTTCCTCTTCAAAATGTCTAAGCTAGTGAAAAAAAAAAAGTGCCCCTATTTACTTGCATAGTTTTCTCTGTCTGTTCTTTCTCTGTTTGAGTCGATAAAATATTCCAAGTAATATGATGACAACTGTTCTGATCTCTGGTTTTCCTTTTGTTTCTGACTCTGACCAGAGAGACAAGCTAAGCCTCAAGGAAGCACCCAACTTTACGGTCAACAGGTAGTCCCCCATGCCACCTCAGCTGGTAGTAATAAGTCTACTAAATAGCATCAGCCCCTAATAACCAAGGAGATAACCCACATCTCTACACAAATCGGGTTGGATTGACTGTTTAAATATAAGGGCTAAGTGTGTTCATAGGAATTTAGAGGTTACTATACTATGGATACTGAAGTTTGCAACGTTGCCCTTTTTGGCAGTGGCTACAAGTGTGATCTTTCAACCAGCAGCAGCAGTAGCAGTATCAGCTGGGAACGTGTTACAAATGCAGGTCAGAAGGTGGCGGGGCTGGCAAGCCATGCACTTTCATGCACAAATGATCCTGATGCACACTGAAGTTTGGAAACCACTGGTTTTAGGATATTTGCAGAATATTTCTTTTTTAAACAATGATGTAGATACAATAAATTGTCCCTTTTCTGAACTTTTAATCAAACTGAACAATCATGCATGCCTTCTCTCAAGCATGTTAATCACATGGGGAATGGCATTCCCCTTACATTCAAGGGTGAATAGCTCACATCTCTGGTATGGGTGCCCTGGTAAATGAGGACTCCAGCAGAAAGACAGTCAGAAGGGTTATGGAAAAATTAAATAAAAAGTTAAGTTTATTTTGGTGCAAAGATGTTTGAAATCCATGCATTTTTATAATACATATTTCCATGAACTTTTTGGAGACCCCTCATATCAGAAATGATTTCCATTGTGGGCCAGCAATTCTTAGTCATGAACTGCTCTTGGAAGGCCTCACCCTGCATAAAAAACACCCGTAAGAACACTCTGGGGCCAGTGCTGTGGTGCAGCAGGTTAAAGCCCTGATGCTTCACTTCTGATCCAGCTCTCTGCTAATGTGCTTGGGAAAGCAGCTCAAGTCCTTGGGCCCCTGCACCCATGTGGGAGACATGGAAGAAGCTCCTGGCTCCCAGATTCAGATTGGCTCAACTCTGGCCGTTCTGGCCATTTGGGGAGTGAACCAGTGGATGGAAGACCTGTCTCTACTTCCCTTTGTAACTCTTTCAAATTAATAAATCTTTCAAAAAAAAAAAAAAAAGAGAACACTTGTTAACATCCTTTTGCAGAGAGAAGAGAATGTGTGGGAGTAAGGTGAATGCATTTTTAAAAATTTATTTGAAAGAGAGAGAGGAAGAGGAAGAAGAGGAAGAAGAAAAGAAGAAAGAAAGAGAGAGAGGTCTTCTATCAGTTGGTTCACTCCCCAAATGGCTGCAACAGGCAGTTCTGGGCCAGGCCAAAGTCAGGATCTTCATTGGGGTCTCCCACATGGGTGGTAGGGGCCCAAGACTTGGGCCATCTTTCTATGCTTTTCTCCATTAGCATGGAGCTGGATTAGAAGTGGAGCAGCTGGGACTTGAACTGGACTCATTCGGGATGCTGGCACTGCAGGTGGTGGCTTTACTGGCTATGTCACAATGCGGGTCCCAGGTAGAGGCATTTGTAATGATACTTTTTTAGAGAAGAATCTTATGTTTGAAGCATAGATAAAATGCTTCATAGAGAACGAAGAGGGGGGCATGTGTACATTTAACAATACTATAAGCCAGTGCTTTAACATTTTAGTGTTATTTTTATTGCCTAGAATCCCATCACTCTCATAATGTTGGCAATAATGTGTGGTAAGCACATTACCACATCAGTCTGATCAATTAGCTGACATTTATTGAGTGCTTAATATGCCCAAAGCTGGGTTCAAAACAGGGAAATACTGAAAGTATGGTCTTAGTTTGCTAACGTGTTTACAATCTGGTTAGAGGTGGGAGTTAAACTCTTGAAATATTTGGGCTCAATAAAATAATATTGTCAAAAATGAGGAGGCCTTGGGAGGCAGCAGATGATTGCTGAAGTACTTGGGACCCTCCCACCCACGTGAGAAATGTGGATTGAGTTCCAGCTCCTGCCTTTGGCTTGGCCAGGCCTTAGCTGCTGCAAACATTTTGGGGAGTGAACCAGCAGATGGGAGACCTGCCTCAATAAAAACAAGTGAGGAGGCCATACACAGACTTCAGGTGTAGCAGGGTGGTCACTTACAGTGTTTAGTACTTCAGGAGAGGCTTCACAGGGCAGATAGAACTCAAGGGTGAAGATCAGTGGTGGAGTATTTGCAGAAATGACCTCACTTCTTCCCTTTCCTGTATTTCTACCCCTTTTCAGTCGCTAACATGAGGAGGCAGGGTCTGTTCCTGCACCCCTGGAATCTGAGTGGGCCTTGTAATGGTGGTAATCTTGTGCTAATTCTGAGCCTAGTTCTCAAGAGGTCTTGCAGGAGTCTGGCCACTCTTGTGGAATATTTCCAGCTGGCACAAACAAGCCCCAGCTGAGTTTGCTACAGGATAAGAGACCCCGTTCTTTATGAGCTAAGCTGTCTCAGCTGAGGCCATAGGCTACTAGGCCTCCCGAGTAATTAGCAGGTTCAGCAGAAGAGCCCCCTAGCGGAGCTCAGCCCCATCATCCACTCCAATAATCCTGAGCTAAATGAGTAAGTGTTTTAGGAGGACATATTTCAGAGTGGTTTTTTATATGGTGATGGATAACTGATACAAGGTCTGAAAGTTGGAGAGTAAGGGAGAAAGGCTAGAGTTGTATTTCCAAGAAACCTCAGTCTGCAGTGTGTGAGTTCTGGCCAAATCCAGATGGAATTTGGATCCAGTAGATTGGATGTCTCAAGCACTCTCTTCCAGTAAAAAGCTAGGAGCATCAGAGCTCAAAGGAACACGTAACAGAGGTCAGACCTGCCTATTACCTTGCCACTTGTCACTATAGACCTCAGCACTCCGTCAGGTTGTAAGAAAAAGGAATCCCCACATGTTGAGATACACAGTAAGCATCAAGATCTTATCCCTCCAAGCTGGACAGAATGAAACAGTTTCCTAGCCAACTCCATTATACCAAGCACAAAAGGATCTGTGTGGCTTATGACCGGCTTTCATTTTCTCCATAAAAATATCTAAAGCTTACATGACATACTTTCAAGAAACTGCTAGAAGCAACTTGTAGATTTCCAAAGTAAAGATGTTAAGAAGTTAGAATGCTTTTTAAA